GAGGCAAATATTAAAGCTTATATAATAATATAACTGGGAGGCAAATATGAAAGCTTATATAATAATAATAACACAAAGGCCATGATTTATGTACTTATATTGGATGTGACTGCACAATGATGTTATTTTTTAATAATTTATTAAAAGCTTTAATTACAATAATAAAAAAGAATACAAACTAAAAAGAAAAAAGAAAAATTGGAAGAAATCAATAAAAGGTGTTATTTGTGTAATGATAACACTGCGCACATGTGTTTTTTTTGATGTCACTGAGGTTTGCTGAGGATGCCACTGATTCATATTGTTTTTTTGCATATATTCACATATCGTATGTATTTTCTGCAACTCCCCCCACCCCAGCATGATAGGACTGGATTAAATAGCATGGGAGCTAAACTGCTAATTATAAATTAGAGACTATTAAAAATAAACTTCAGTAATATTAATAAGCCTGCAAAACATATTCGTTTCACAATCAACATAAATAATTCTTATAACTACCAAGAACAGAATTTATTTCTGAGTTTTCAGATCCTTTTCTCTAGTTGCAATTATCAACAGGAATAGTTCATCCTGCTGAGTGAACATTTTGGCTAAGCAAGTTCTTTTGCCAGCAGTCCATCTCTCTTAATATTCTGCAAACCAAGTAATTGGTAACATCTTCGCTTCAATAATCTTCCATTGTCTTCTACAGAGAGAAACTATAGATTATAAACCTCAACACAACTTCCAGGCAATAATAGGCTAGCCACTGCAAAAGCCTTTGTAACAGAAGAATACAACTCATATTTTTTTCTAGCATAGCAAACTGAAGCAGGATATGTGGTAACTTAAAAATCAACAGGTTAACCTATAGATGTTTTCATCCACAGATCAACTTCATTCTTACTCTTTTCAGGGAATCAAAAACCTGGTTCACCTACAGATTTTATGATGGTGGAATATTGGTTCACGCAGTAATAATTTCCATGGGAGTAATCTATTGGTTGGGGTTTGTTCATTCTGTTGTGACATTATAGCATCATGTCATGAAAGCACCATTCTAATAAAAAGTGGAAAGTAGATCTTCAAAAAAACCTGATCAACACAGGATAACAGACTCACTTTTTCACCTTTATGATCTTGTTAAAACATCAACACTATTAGTTATCATGACTTCAATTAATAACCATCAATGGCCTAACTCCAATTAGTAGAGCTGAATGTCAGACTATTATCTGGGGCAGCCTTTCTAATAGGATTTTCTTCCAAATATGTGGACTTCAACTCGCAGAATATTCAGAAGTGTTTGTGCTGGTTGAAGAATACAGGGAACTGATGTCCACCCACCTAGAGAATGTCATGTTGACAAAGACTAACCTTCAGGAAGATAACCTATGGTACTTCTTTAACATTGTATTTTAGAAAAAATAATCTTTCAAGTAATATGAGATAATAATATCCACAAAAACCATTTCTTCTTTTTAAAAAGACAACTATGACATGTTTTTTTACTAATTTTTTTTACTACTGGTTTTGTGGGTGTGGCTTGGTGGACGTGGTGTGGCTTGGTGGGTGTGGCACGGGAAGGATACTGCAAAATCCCCATTCCTCCCCACTCCTGGAGAAGGATATTGAAAAATATCCATTCCCACCCCACTCTGGGGCCAGCCAGAGGTGGTATTTGCCAGTACTCAAAATTTCCACTACCAGTTCTCCAAACTGCTCAAAATTACCGCTATTGGTTCTCCTGTCAGAACCTGCTGGATTTCCTGCCTGTTTGACATTTGAAATATGCTGTGCCTGACAAATACAGTAATATTAAAGAAAGCCAAAATTTTCTTCCAATAAAAGTTAAGAGCAAGGAAATATTTTCCTTACAGAAATTTCTTTCCCAAATGGGTGAAAAGTGAGGAAAACAGAAAAAAACATCGCCTCTCGGAGAGATAGAGGGGGGAATCCAAGAGATCAAGACTTTCATCAGTTGAATGAAAACCTTACCTCGAAGTCAACAAAAAGACCAAGAAACTCAGGTAAAACAAAAACCTTAATATTCTATTCCTACAATCAGTTCCAATTATCTTTAACTCAGCAAATGAACCAAAATGAAGTCTGCAGAAGTCTGCAGAAGTAGTCACTGCACAGGAAAGATTACTCAACAGACTGGGAATTGGAGAGATGGGGAAACATGCTGCTATTAATAATGGGAAAGGTCACAGCTTATAGCATAAGCAGCCCAAGACACTTTGTTGACTGAGCCAGAGCAACCAAGAGCAGAACCTCCCATCGGTATGCACAATACTAGATGTTAGGTAAGTTATTTTGACTCATAAGGCTACTTACAAGTGTCTTCTCTCTTCACCAGGTGCCAACATAGAACAATGATAAGTTAAATAACAATCTGTCACCATCTTGACACACAAAATCAAATGCATGAGACAGTTGTCTCCTTCTGCTAAATCACAGAGTAAATGGCAAAAGTCTCCTGAAGTAGGCTTGAAAGTATCATCTTCCAGGCTTACATCACATCTAGACTCCTCAGAGGTTCTCAGAAACATTTTGAAGACAAGAAATAGCTGCTCAACTAGCAACAGATAATTATTCTGTTGTCACATGGCCAATACAGGGTTGACTTTAAATTCCTTTCTTGTTTGTTCATTCTTACAATGGTTGATTGGTTGTTACTTGTTGAAATTCACAATGTAAAGAAATACTGTTCCATGCCCATCAGACTCAAGAGCTGAAGAAACAGGCTGGCCTTCTGCCCTCTTTGCCTTGCCAAGTCAGACAGGAGCTCATATATCTTGGCACGTGTCCACTAGTATTCAGGATATGTTGCCTTGAGGAAATTAAGGGAGTGACAGTTCCATATGGGGGTCAAGCATGTTCTATAACAAATATTTAATATTTATAGAGCAATTTACAAAAGTTTCCTTCTTCAAGTTAAGCTCTACTTCATGGATACTTCCATGTAGTTGTATTGGCAATAACATAGCAGTGGTTTGTCACTGCCTTCTTCTGGAATGTTGCAACCTTTCTCCCATTCAAATACTAACCAGGCCCAAATCTTCTTAGCTTTTCAAGAGTTCAATTGTTGGCTTTTAGAAAAATTAGTTACAGTACATGTTTCAATGCCACAGGGAGGGTGGGACATACATCCTGGAACAAAAACTAAAATATAAGTTTTGGTTATAAAATATAAGATTCCTACCCAAATAATTCTTGGTTTCACTGGAGGCAAAAGTGTCAGCCATCCCCCTGGCTGATTCAAAGATATTGCCTTATTTTAAAATCTTGTGTTGTAAAAATTGAAAACAAACAAACACTGTGCTCTAGCCATTCTGTGCATCTGTCTAAATTGGTGACAAATATGCCAAGAAGCTAGTGCTAGAGATCCCCATTCATGCATATGGAACCTTTTGAAATTACCATCACTGCCTCCATGGACTACTAGACCATTCAAACAGAATAAAGTTTTCTACACAAAACTTTCAAAATCTCAAGCCATTTATCAGTGAATTCAAAATACAGCCAAGACTGAAGCACAGATATATATACAGTATACAGCAAATGGAATGAGTAAAATTATTATACAGCTGGATAAGTAAAAGCATCTGAAAGAAGGAGCCATTTTGCTCATACAAATGCATGTCTAAGCATGTATCTGTATCAAGTGGGCACCCTCATTATTTCTGATTGCTGTTTTGTTTTTTGTATTGCAAAATTTTACATATCTAATTTTCAGAGGTTCCAAAAACCTAGTACTGCTAACTGCAAAATACAATCCGTGGCAATCTGGGTATATTTCTGTAACTTGAATCACTTGAAAGTGAAAAGGTTGTAGAGGGAAAAGATGCAAACACCAAGACCTTAAAATATTAGGTGTCTTCCTTGTGCATGGGCTCTCCTCTCCAGTAGGTTTTTAATTTAAAAAGAATCAATGGCTGGTTTATAAAAAGTTAGTTCTTGAAGCACAACACACTTTAAAACTAAATCTTGACATATTGCACATATTTAATGCACTGCAAACCCTTACTAGATTTATACTTCAAAGAGCCTTCTCAGTAATAGAATCTTAAATAGGAGATCAATTGTTAGTGTGTGTATATGTCTGGTGTGTGCGTGTGTGTGTGTGTGTGTGTGTGTGTTAATAATCATGGTTTTAAGCTCTAATGATACCAGGAAGAGGTTCGCTAAGTAGTTTAAATAGGCATTTGAGCCTTTTTAAAATTTATATTTCATTTCAGGGGTGAAGGAGATAGAGAAGGGGGATTCAGACTGCAGAGCAGGAAGAAGTACACTGTCTTTGCTTTAAAAGCTATGAAGAATAAAATGCAAAAAGCTGGATTCAGATCCAGTTCCATTTTATATACCAAAGCAAACATTCAGCAATAAGAAAAGGGCCCCACAGCCTGCAGTCAATCTACAGTGCTGTGCTGATTTCATGAGTCCAACCCTTAGGTGAGACTTAGGAGCTATGCAATTCAACCGTTAGTAGCACATTTAGACAGAAGCTAGTCTTAGCGTTCAGGATGATGCTTCTCAGTACTTGGAACACGTTAGTTTTGCAGAACCCAGCTCCATTTTCAACAGTATCTAGTACAAGGAGCTTTCCCAACTTCTCCCACACCGATGGGATTCAAAAGCAACAATATGAACATATCCCTGGGAAACAGGTCTCTCGACCTTAAAAAAAAAGAAAGAAAAAAAAAGGTGGGGGTTTACAACCACGAGCACTGATACAAGGCTATAAGTCGGAAAATAGGCCTTTTATCACAACCGTATCTATCGGCCGGGGACAAGTTTATTTCTCAAAGTAGCAGGCCTGATTTCTTCGCCTGCAGACCTGCTCTCCTTTCTTTAACTCTCCCAGCGAGCGGGGGGGGGGGGGGGGGGGAAAAAAGCCCCCCCACATAAATGATGCCCACCGGCTTTTTTGCTGTTGTTAAGTTCCACTAAGAGAGAGATGCACTTTCTTGGCGATTTTTTTTTTTTTTACATGTGTAGTTTCTTCTTCTTACCTTCAGCTGGAAAGGCTGAATCTCATTCAAACTTTGATTCCTGAGCTGCTTCGTGAGGATCTCGAGCATGGTACAAATCCAAGGAGCCAGGGAAGAGTTAAGCCCGCACTCGCATCTAAAGCGCGTCCAGTCGGCGCCGAGCAACTGCAGGTACACCCCACTTGTGGCTCCAGTGGCATATGATCTACCGAGAAATACGATCGGGCGCCTTTCTTCCTCTTCTTCTTCTTTTTTCTTTTCTTTTCTTTTTTTTTTTTTGCACCCTTATAACATCCCGGATCTGGTTGCTAACGCACAACTTCCTCCCGCGTCTGCTCCGTCGAAACCACTAATGGGTTTACTTTTTTTGTTTTTCAGAGGGCGAATGTCTTGCTTTTCCAAGCTGCAGCGAAGGACGCCAAGGTAGCAACCCCGACAGCAGCTAGCAGGGTTTCTACTCCAAGAGGCAGGAGGACACTAGATGCCGAAAGAGTTAAACGGGAGATGGGAAAGCTTTCGAAACTAAGGCCCGGAGCTCTGCTCATGGTCTAATTATGTGTCATTTCTCTTCCTTTCCTGCACGGTGCCGGTCGCTCCCGCGCGCTCTTCTCCCCGGCTCCTTTCCCTTTTCCACGCTCTCCTCGGGCGCGTACGGCCGCCTTTCTCTCCCTCTCTCTCTCTCTCTCTCTCTCGCTCTCCTCGGCGTTCTTGCTATATGAAACTTGTAACAAACAGGACCCGAAGACCGGGCGCCGCCGATTGGACAGCCAAGGCGGACTATGTCAATTTCAGGGGGCCGGGTTTCCATTTAAAGGGAAACCAAAAGAAGAACCGAGCAGGTATCGCCGTTTTCTCTCTCTCTCTACTTCTCCCCCACAAGTAGGTTCTGGAGGGGGAGGAAGCCCCAGGATGTCCCGCATCTCCTTCGCTTCGAAAGCGTTTCTCCCCATTGGAAGTTAAGGTGTTGGAGGCGCAAGAACCAGCCCAGCGATGCAGAATTGAAACCTTAACAGGGTTTCCTCCCCTCCCTCCCTCCCTTCCTTCCCTTCTGTACGGTCTCGGGTTTCTCCCTCTGCGGGTACAAAATGTGGTGTGTCTTTTAGCATTTTTTTTTTAAATAAAGACTTTAATCATCATCCTCTTTGCTTTATATCCTCCAATTGAGGACTTAACCCCCCCTCCCTTCTCATTACTCCGTTGTATTAATTCAGAATAATATGGGATATTTTAAAAGAATATTATATCCTAGAAAGAAAGAATTTATGGCTATACACATTTTAAAAGCATCGTTTTGTTGGACTATAATTCCCAGACATCCCAATTATTATGGTTCGTCACACAGTCGGCCAGATATTTGGATTGGATATGGCATTTTTACCAACCTAATGACTCCAAGGACTTGGAGTAGGCAAATGTGGATTTCTGTTGGTATTAAACGTACATTCACAAGCTGTAAGCTGTTCCGAGTAAAGCTGCCTTTTGCAATTGACTGATCGTGAATTTGTCAATGCCGATCAAGTTCAAATGGGGCTCCAATTGTTTGGGGATTGCACTCAAAGCTCCTATAACTGTTGGTATTACCTTTGCTTTCTTTTGCCACAGTCGTTCTATTTCGATTTCCAAGTCTTTGTATTTTGTTATCTTTTCCAGTTCTTTCCCTTTTATTCTGCTGTCTCCAGGTCCTGTCAGGTCCGCTATCCAGACATATTTTTCTTTCTTTCTTATCGACATTTCTTAAGTCTGGAGTGTTATGTGGCAGGTGCCTGTATGTTTGAATTCTAAAGTCCCAGAACACTTCACCTTCTTCATTTTCAATTACTTTTCTGTATTTTATGATTCCCTCCAGTTCTTGCTTGCAGGCAAATCCTATTTCTTGCAGATCTTCCAATGCACCATTGTTGACGTTTTGTTGTGCCATTGTTTGTAACCAGCACGCAATGTTCTGCAAGAGCTAACTAGGTGTTTCATGGTTTCTTCAGTTTCTTTGCAGAGCTGGCACTTGCTGTTTGTTGCTGTCTTTACAATTATGGTTCCTGGTGGCTTGGTGTTGTGCAGCCAGAATTAGTCTCTTTATCTCTTTCTTCAACTTTCCTGCTCTTAGACATTGCCAGGTTTTGTAATCTTCTGTTTTGTCTGCTATTTATATGTACTAGCCATGCAATACTTTGTCTTCCCATGTCTCTTTTCAGTTCTTCATTTGGTCTTTCATGTAGGCCAGTTTGATCTCTCCAATACTCAGTAAGCCTTCCTGGTCTACTAGCTTCAGTGCCTCTTCTTCACTGTCCTTCAGATATACTTCCAATGCCCTTTTTTCTTCTTCAACCATCTGATGTACTTGCAACATTCCACACATGCTTACTTTCCTTGGTAAGTAGAATCTGTCGATGTTGCTACGAGGATGTCATTAATTTTCTGGTCTTCCTATCCAAGTCTTTTAGTTCTGCTTAAGTCCAGTCCACTCTTCCAGCTATGTATCTACTGACTGGAATTGCCCAGGTGTTTATTGCCTTGATGGTATTTCCTCCGCTGGCTTTGGACTTTAAGATCTTCACTCTCTTTTCACTTTTAACCTTTTTATTGACTTCAGTGTGCTTGATGTTGTCAGCTGGAAGGATGCCCAGATATCTGTAGTAGTCATTTCCATCCAGACTTTTGATGTTATTTCCACAGGGCATCTTGATTCCTTTAGTTTTCACTATTTTTTCCTGTTTGATGTTGAGCATGACACATTTGTCCAGTCCAAACTCCATTGCAGTATCTTGGCTGTATACAGACAGTATTGAGCAGCAATTGTATTTCAGATAATAGTGCTTTTCCACACACAGTTGTTTTCAACTAGAAGTTGTTGGACTGCATCAGCTACCACACTCTAGCTTTTAAAAAGAAAAGTAATATGGATTAAAGGAGGGGTTTATTTTTTTCCTACATCAAATGCCGTGATTAGTTGATTGTGTGCCATCAAATTGGTATTGATTCCTAGTCACCATATACATTTTTCTTCCATGATCCTTAACTTGATCCTTCCAGCTGTGCATCCATTGCCACTGTACTTCAGACCATTCACTTTGCTGCTGGTTATCCTAATTCCATGATGGTGAACCTATGGCACGTGTGCCACAGGTGGCACACAGAGCCATCTCTGCAGGCACGTGAGCCAACACCCAAGTCAGCTCCACTGCACATGCCCACACGCCTCCCGCTGGCCAGCTGATTTTCAGGTCTCTGCCGAGAGACGCATGCGCGGGGGGGTGCGCATGGGGGTGGGAAGCTGCGGCTCCCCCCACCCCCTCCCCCATTTTTGGTCCCAGGAGGCTTCAGGGAGGCCTGCTAACATCAAAATGGGGGTCATGCACGCATGCGTGGGGACGCGCAGGGGGTCACGCGCACATGCACGGGAAGCATGGAGGGGTCGTGCACACATGTGGGGAGGGGCCTGCAGGGGGCATTGCATTATGGGTGTCAGCACCCGAGGAGAAAAAGGTTCACCATCACTGTCCTAATCTTTTTTTTCCAGCTGCCTTTTCCGATATTAGAGCTTTCCCCAAAGAGCTAGGTCTTTCTACAATGTGTCCAAAGTAGAATGATTTGAGCCTGATATTTGTGCCTCCAGGGAGAACTCTGGATTGATTTATTCAATGAGCCAATGTTTGTTTTCTCAACTGCTCTGTTAATCTAATACCGATGTTTGAAAATGTCAATACTCTTTCCATGCTGATTCTTCAAAGTCCAACTTTCATTTCAATAGAGTGTCACAGGGAATACCATAGACTACAGTATCCTGATCTTTATAGATTTAGCATCTGATTATTTTTTCCCAATGCCTTCATGGCTGAACACATATGGAGTGTTAGTCTGCAGCATATTTCTTAACTACTTGTTCCTTTACTATTGATAGTTGAGCCTAAAAGCCATAAACTATCCAATACTTCAGTACATTCATTGTCAATTATAAGACTTGTGCTTGTACTTGTTGTCATTCAAGTGACTACTTTATATTTTATTTTAGTCCCATTTTTTTTCACTGTCCCATTTTATTACTAGTGCTTGCAGATCCTGTGATATTTAGTTATCAGGATAGTGTCAACACAGCTCAGGCTATTGATACTTATTTCTCCAATTTTAAAACCACACTCATCTTCTTCCAATCCACCTTCCCTTATATAGCAATAACAATACCACTTAGACTCATATACTGCTTCACAGTGCTTTTACAGCCCTCTCTAAGCAGTTTACAGAGTCAGCATATTGCCCCCAACAATCTGGGTCCTCATTTTACCCACCTCGGAAGGATGGAAAGCTGAGCCAACCTTCAGCCTGGTGAGATTTGATCTGCCAAATTGCAGGCAGCCTGCGGTCAGCAGAAGTAGCCTGCAGTACTGAATTCTAACCATTGTGCCACCACAACTCATATTTTCAGCATATAGATTGGATAAATAAGGAGAGAGTATACAGCCTTGTCTCATCCTTTTTGCTGTAATTATTTCTACATTCCTACTCTACTCACAGTGAAGGGATTGGTAGAATGCTTCTCCCAAATATCCAGATGATGCATGCATATGTTGCTGCAATTGCCAACATCCAGCCTGAATAACTGGGTTATTCAGAAACCCAATATTGCTTAGTCATTCAGTAACCACCATCATTAGATAGGCCTGTCATGATCCAGTAGCAGCTATGTAGTCATGGAAGAGTATGTAATGCACTCACTCATTCATTTACCCTCTCAGTCTTAGTCACAGCCATACAGAGCAATAGGGAAGAGTCTTCCTTTACATCTGAATAATATCAAAGGAGTGACCTAGAGTAGGTTCACCCAGCTTGGTAGACATATAAAGAAGAAGAAGAAGGGAGGGAGGAAGGAAGGAAGGAAGGAGAAAAAGAGAAAGAAAGAGAAATCCACATGCATAAATTAATTCAGAAGATTTTAAAGACTAAGCTACAGCTAAAGCTAGAACATAATAAAATTATGTTGTAACCATAGAGTTAAAAGTTTATTTTAAATTGCCAGAAAAAGCCACTTGAGTTACATAATACTAAACTTTTGATTTAGTGGTCTTAATCTGAGAGGTGGAGGGGGTAAATTAATAATACGTAAAATCCTTCCTTTATTTCAATGCATAGCAAATCTTTCCCACAGGGACTAGGAGCTCTTAAATCGTGTCCTGATGTCACCACCACTATCTCTTCAGAATGTTTATGGAAAATGTTAATTTTCCATTCCTTTCTGTCTGGGAATGGTTAACTATTTTATGATACGGTTATTTGCAAAGGACTTCTTTTCACATATGTTGCCATATAACTTTTCGGTAAGAATATAAACATTTTTTAGTAGCTCTTCACTTTACTGTCGATGTAAACCATCATCTGTAGTGCAATGTATTTGAACATAATCCTGTGAGACAAGCGCAGCCTAAGAAACATCTAAACAGTCACCCCAGGATATCTTTCTAAAAATAAAGCTTTTCTGTTGCTGATGTTCTTGTGTGCAATAAATTAAAAAGTCAGTACTAATCTAAAAATGTTTTTGTCCTCAGTCACCCTCCTGTCACATGACCTGTAAGTCACTAACTGTGGCATGTGGGTCACAAACTGGGGAGAGGGGGGAACCAAGGAGGTTTACTCTTTTGTAATAAGATTGCAAGCTGATTAGGGGGAAATCTGCCTTTTTCTATGGGTCTCTAATTGCAATGATTCCCATTTTAATCCCATTATCCCATCCTACAAAACCATACTGGGACCTATAGTCCAATTCCCAAATTATATTTAAATAACAAATCCCTGTTATTAAAGATACTGCACGATAAAAGAACTCTGTTTTGTACAGATGATATAAATAGAT